TTAGTTCGTAAGAAAAACACAGAAAATACAACTCCAAAATAGTTACAGTAGTGATAGTACTAAGGTAAAATAGTTAAACAGTTTTCAAAAGTAATGAAAACAATCTACCTGGAAAATTCTCTTTGATGTATTGTGATTGTATAATAGAAGGTAGGTTTACAACTAGCCAAAAATTGAATAAAAACCCAAAAATAATGCCAGCATACTCAGATGATAAAAGAAGGCATCCTTCATGTAAGGAATCACCTTTCAAAATCCATTCAAAAAGAACTGAAAATGTTGTAGACGAAAGGTAAATTAATCCCAGAAGTACTAAAGAATCCTGAAAAGCTCAAAAAATAGAAAAATTTTAAAAGATGAGTTATTGAAAGAAATAAGTAGGCCACCTCTGAATGAAGCATAAGTTTTTTGGGAGTCTAAGAAACCAGAGATGAGTGCAGTCACTTCAATTAAAAATAATGCATTGAAATCAAAGAGTTAGGCTTTGCTCCACTTAGAAATGCACAAACATCTAGTGAGACAGAGACGGTATTTTTACCTACACCAAAAACATTCTAACACTGATATAAAGTCAAACATCCAAGACTAAATAACAGCTGTATTTGCCAAACCTATTTTCAACGTGCGCTTAAATTGTAGCTCTTTAATAATAAAGGGAAATTGAGTCTCTAATGTATGAGAAAAAATCGTGTGAGGAGCTAAATTAATAAACCTGGATTTGCAATAGATTTGCACCTTCTGTTCTCCATATTCTGACATCAGCTACTCTGGTGTCCCGTACTCAATTCACCTGACGGCCAGCACCGTTTCCTCACGGCAGCGCCGCGCACGCGGCTGCCAAACGCGCTTCCCATTATTGATGGGTTGTCCTTGCATTCCCCTCGCCAGGGGAAAGCAAGGAAAGCTGCCGTGCCTTGCTTTGCCCAGCTACTCATCTTTACAGAACCCTCAGGAGGTAATTAACTGCATTTGAGACTTCCTCTGCTCTTTCAAATTCGGTTGACATAAGCCAAAGCATTCAAAAATTTCCATGGGCTGAATGGACAGATGGAGAAAGAGAGAAACAGACAGACAGACAGCACAGTCTAACCTATCTATGGTATTTAGGTAAAGAAAATACAAACAAGGAGATAATATTTCATCTAGAAAATTAATATATTCATAAAAGTACACTTAGCATCGTTAAATGAAACGTATTCATAGGAGTCAAGCTCTTGCAATCTATTTAGGATTCTGTCAAAGTGATGACCTTGGTTTAAGTACCTATGGGATTTCAAAAAAATAAAACCCAACCAGCTTTATGCTGATGTAAAAACTCTTTAAAATAAAGGTTCCTACAACACTGTTTATATTTTATCTGTTGCACGGAGGAGTAGCAGATGTTAATATGATATTCTACAATAATGAACAGCGAGATTCTGATTTATCATAACGCTTAACCATCCTCTGGGGAAAAGCAAGTGGGAATCATGAGACATACAAGGAAGGTATAAAGGTGACAAGAATGCATTACTGTAAAGATGAGAATATTTAATGTGTAGATGGTGACTGCCCCAACATACAATTTAATTAGGAGTTTTAACACATTTACAGGACCTCCTCCTCATTGGGAATTCTTCCACCGCATCAAGCTCATAAAGCTTACCAGGTATATTTCCACTCAGGTTCCTGAATTATAGAGCCATGACTTTTTTATATGCATCTTTAATTATCATTCCAATCATTTTATCTGTTCTTAATCAAGGATAAGCAATCATCATTAATGTCTTTTTAAAAGAATATGGTAATTTGCTTCCTTTCAGCCCTCCAGAGCAGTTGGCAGATTCTAATGAAACATCTAAGATTTTTGTTAGTATCCCACTCATTGCATTTTTTAATTCCTTTGGTATTTTTGAAGTAAATTATTAAGTTCTGTTGAAATACTGCAATTTAAGACTCATCTAACTTTAAAACTAGCTTTGTTTTGAGCAGGGTGGTGGACAAGATGACCTCCAGAGGTACCTGCCAACTTAAATTATTGACTGAAATTAATAACAAAACCTGCAGCCAGAGTAGGTTGATAATGAAAGCATATTAAAATATGTCCTCTAGAATTTTTATGAGAGGCTTTTTCAAATTTTTTTTAATATTTGATTACTGTGTGCATTGTCCCCTGTATGTCGATTGCATTTTGTCATTTTGTTGTAATTTTTTATTTTTGGTATCACTGTCTTCTCCACCCTAATTCAGTTCTGCAAGATTCTGTGTTTACAAATATGAAATATACTGTAACCGTCTTTTAATTTTTTTAATCCATCATATAGTAGCAGAGATTTCTGTACTTAGATATACATCATCTCAGTTTTAAACGTATCTAGAGAAATCATGCCCTTCTTCAAGGTCATTTCTTCAGGGTTAGTCCCAGACCGTCCTCTATTTCCTATACATGACCACCTTATAGCCTAGGAGGACTTTATGTATTAGCTGTATTGAATTTGAGTGATTATTTTTAGTGTATTTTCTCTATCCTGGAAAGGCAGGCTCTTGTCTCTTAGGTAGGCAGCAGTCTAGGAAAATATAAATATTTTCACAACCTGTTTATGAAATCAGCTGAGGAGAAGATGGCTCCTGGGAGAAATGGAAAACTTAAATATTTCTAATGATTTATCAAGAAAGGGCAAAGCTCTTATTTCTCTAGTGAATAACAAGGATTCCCAACAACATTTCATATCCTCTCTTAATCACTCTGCCATGAGGAAAATCGTTAAGCTTAAGAGAAAATGGGGAGGGGGGGGGAACTACTTGAAAACATTGCTTTCCCATCATGCAGATTTTCGATTCAGTCCATTACCCCAAATAATTCATTACAGTTCATTTTCTCTAATGTACAAATGCCAAAATCAATAAACATTTTTCCACATTTTCAAAGCAGTCACTGATGTCACACACCAGCCAGTCACATTCCTTGAAAAGTTTAGAATGGCTTACAGTCCAGCAGAACCTGAAAACCTAAAAAGTCTCCTAAGGCTTTAATCTGAAGAAATACATACAACTGAAAGCTGTCTAGTGCATAAGTATCTAAGTCTTATCAGTAAATATTCATGTCACCATTGGTAAATAAAAAAGGGGAGTACTTTGTAATGCAAATAATTTAGCTGTAAAGCAAACCACAGATTAATGTAATGTAACAATACTAAAGCTTCATTTACCTGTTTTGAAAGAACTAACGTCTGACAAGCAGTTTTACAGATCAAACATTCATCTTTTTTGCCTGTAAGGTAAAGACACATTTAAAATATACATCAAACTGAGTAGATACTGAATACATTGTAAATAGAACTCTGTGCCTAAACCTTTGTGTGGAGCATATGGAAGAAATCTGCAGGTTATCAGAGAAACGTGAATAAACATGAACAAAGAATTTGTTTCTTTAGTAACCACTACGCAGAGTGGCAGAGGGAAAAGGTGTGTGAATGTCATCGGGTCTTACTGTTGCAAATAAGCATTCATGTAAATGATTTTATGAATATCATTAGCGTCACAGAATGCAGGTGACTTTTATTTCCGTTGATTTAAATAGGACCACTTGCCTGGTTTAATTAAATGTATGCTTAAGTGCACTAATGACTTACAGTCAACCAGATATACAGCTTTTTAGACTGGGGCCCAGTATGGTTCTCTCAGTAAAATATACGAGACCTTAACATCAAAGAATTAAAGTTTTACCTTGTAAATTCTTTCAGTGAGAAAATAATAAAATCTCTCGTAAAAACTTAATAATTTTTAAACTGTCTCTTTATTTGCAAACATACTAGAAAATATTTATAGCAAATGCATATTATTACAATATTTATCGTTGGTAATTTTACTAGCTAGATCCTTTCTGAGGATTCTGTGGATCAATGTTAATAAACATCTTTTAAGAGTAAATACATGTTAAGCCTGGTATTATGATTATTATAGAATTCCCAGCAATAAGATATATAATCTCAGGCATTTTTCTGGCAAACAATATTAGGAGGAGCAAGGAAAGACATTCAGGTTCTGTGAGCCTGACAACTGGATTTAGAAGCTGCATTTTATGATCCCCCTCCTTAAAAGCAACCCTGTGAACGCATCCAGTCAACAGTTTTTAATTCTGATATACAGATTCATCATTTCTTCTGTGTGCCCTTAAAAAAAAAACAAAAAAAACACAGGGCATTCAGCATGATCTCAAGAGGAAAACATTGGTATTTGTCTGCTGGTCTTTTCTTTTGAAAAACAACTTCATTATTCCTCTGCCTTTTCCACATATCTTCGCCTGAGTGCATCAAGTTATGTTGAAATTCTGCAATTTAAGACTGACCTCTCTTAAAAACTGGCTTTGTTTTGGGCAAGGTGTTGGACAAGATGACATCCAGTGGTCCCTAACAACTTACTCTTTGACTGAAATTAATAACAGAACTTGCAAGCAGAGCAGGTTGATAATGAATATCACAGAATATGACTCTGGAATTGTACGTAACACAACAGCTTCAAAACATCACCTCCAATCCTCCCTCACGCTGCTGAAAATTTTCCAGTAACAACACTGAGCTTTAATAAAACATCCTAAGACTACTTGCAAAACCGGCCCTAAACAAATCCTACGTTGTGTAAATTGCCCTTTCCCAGGATGAAAAAGCATGCCTTTTTCCAATTTAGCCAGAAGAGAACGCCTTTGTTTGTTTGTTTGTTCAACAACCTTATGAATCCTAAGCATCCAGAACAGAGTTTTATTAAAGCCTCCAGTTTCCCGTGCCCAAGGCTTGCTCTCCAAGCCGTATTTACCCGGAGGTGGACACCGGCGGGCTTTAGTACTTAAAGAAAATCAATAGCAAGGATTGAAAAGGTTTATCAACAACATTCGACAGACACGAAGGAAGGCTCAGGCCCTTCTTTTTTTTTTTTTTTTTCCACAGCGAGTCAGAAACACGAAGGGTAAGGTGAGGGATGCGCACTCCAGCACCGCCCGGCCCAGCAGCCATTACCTTTCTGCAGGCAAACCTCGCAGAAAACGTGGCCGCAGCTGGTGAGGCAGAACCGCGGCGTGGGCTTGCGGGGCTCGCAGGAGCAGGAGTTGCAGAACACCCGGAGGGCCATGGGCCGGAGGGGCAGGAGGGCCCGGCAGCGAGCCGGGGGCCGGGGCAGACGCGGTCCCTCCTCAGGGCGAGCCCCGCGGGGGCCGCTCCGCCATCGCCCGCCCGGCTGAGGCGGCCCCAGGGGAGGGGGGATCGCCCGCCCCGCCGCGGGGCCTGAGGGCGGCGGAGTTCCACCCTCACACCCCGCCAAAAAGAAGTTGTATTTTCTGGCCTCTCGCTGCCGAACTGGAGCGGTGCCCACCCAGAGGGCCGTCTGCGAGATTTCCGTTCCTTTCCACAAAGACTAGCGGAGGAATTTAAAATCTTAGGAAACTCCTTTTTTTTTTAGATTTTTGTTTTAGATTTAGGTCCCTAAGTGGGACCTAACTAGGAGAAAGAGAGCAGCTACTACGGCCAGCATGAACTCACACGAATGATCCAGCTGCCAACAGGTGAACATTTGTCACAAATCAGTCCCTCCATCTCTCATCTCTCAGCCTGGATGCTCAAGGGAAATCTAAAAAGTTACCTTATAAACATGAGCCTGGGAACAAAAAATTCATAACTACAGAAACCCGAGGACTCCAGATTAGTTTTATGACGTATTATAAATTCTCTTCTCCCCATTAGCCTTTCCATCTTTTATCTTCCTTCCTTCCCCACTGCCCAGCTCCTAATTTCCTCCTAGTAATTCTTTTAGCATCTCACCTTCCCCTGCTCTCGCCCCCCTATGGGTACTCAATCAACCCAATCCCGACTTCAACTCAAATGCTGCCCCAATCACTGAGTCCCTCTTCTAGATTTAGCTCTACATCTGCAGAGGGGGGGGAAAAACCTGACAAAAGGTGGGGTTCAAGAGGTAAAAATGTACGGGGAAGACAAAGGTTGTGAAGAGAGAAACCAGAGTTAGAATCAGAGCAGGGGATGAGAGAAGCTTGAGAGTTATATACAAATAATTTTCTCAGGTGCAGGGTGTCTTCAGCTGTTCAATGTTACATGGGGCACAGTTTTTGAATCTGAGCTTGACCCTCATAGCCCTAAAAGAAGTTGTTTTTCTCACCTCTCACTACCAAAGTGGAGCAGTGCCCATGCAGAGGGTCCTCTGAGAGATTCCCCCTCCCTTTCCCAAAGGTGGGGAACGGAGCTGGATGCTCAGTGCTCCAGGCAGGGGCTGCAGCAGGAGCCCCATCCTCCTGATTCCTCCTGGGCCAGCAGGTGTGTGGAAAAAGGTTGTGGATTCCACTCCCTTAAATTCAGGAAGCCAGGAAGGTTGTTAATTTGCTGTCACAGCTTTGCTGTGGCATCTTTCAATGAGGAAAAAGAGCAAAACAAGGAGTTTTGATTTTCATTTCTTAGAAAAAACAAAAACAAAAAACAAACAAACAAACAAAAAAAACCCCGCCACAGTTTGCTAGTTTCCCTTGATGAAATTTTTAGGAAAAAATTCTCTTGCAGACCTAGTTGCAGTGCAGGCTGTAGCTCTGGGTATGTCAGAGCCACAAACTGCAGAGGAGGAACCTCTGTGTTTTAACTTCGCGAAAGCTACTGCCGCCAAAGTGCTTCCCAAAAGAGATGCAATTCATCTTTTGCTTTATAGAGTTAATTAAAAATCGTGAAGAAGACTGAAAACATTTCATCAAAGCAAAGATATTTAATGACTATTATTATAGATAAAGAACTAAGCACTCTCAAGCTATATTGAAGGCTCTGAGGCTCAGTGCTGGTTTGAATATAGACCTAATTAATAGAGAGAAACAAAATCAGCTCCTGTATAAATTCTAGTGTAGTGCCTGTCCTGGTTTAAAAGCCTAAGCGTATTGTAAGTGAGATGAGCTAAGTTTGGCATTGTGATGTTGTTAGAAGCCTTACACTAAATATCAGCTAAAATCTGAAACACAACCTTGTAGCAACACTTTGTTAAACTTTTTTTTTTTGGACTTCATATACCATACGGTTGTAACACATATTTCCTTCTTTTCCACCATCAAAGATACTTTTAAAAGACAGGTTGTGAATGACTGATCTATGAAAGTAAAGCTAATAAAACTTATTTACTGGTCATTCCAAGTGTCAGCTCTAAAGTCTCAGAATTTTTAATGCAGGACACACCTCAGTGAGTAGCTTTATAAGATTTTATTTTGATTGATTTGGTCTGTAGAACATTGCTTTTTGTCTCAACTTTATATCAATTTTATGGATTTTCACAGCTGTATTTTCATTCCTGTAGTGGAAATGTAAGTCAACTCATAGGTCATTTCCTCGCTAATGAAAACAACAAGTGAGAAGATAGAAAAAAGAAAGAAAGCAGTGCCTTTAAAACAATAATTGTTTGCAGATATTCCAGCTTTCACTACCTTTTAGACTAGCAGTGGGTCTGGAAAGAGAAGTAGGAAACCAAACCATAATATTCTGCTATCACAGTGCTCTAGAAACCTGTTCAAGTTTCATGTTTTTATATGTAACTACTTCCACTTCCTCCTTACGCTACTGCTGCTTTGTCAAGCTAATTATCTGGATTTTTAACCACAGTTTTTGACTTCTCATTGTATGGTACTGTAGTTACACTGCTAGATGTACATAAACTAGGTAAATTAAAGCATAAAGATATATGCAACCAAGCTGCAATAAGTGAAATGGAAAATTTAGTCAAAAACTGGTAAGTTCCTTAGGCTGTCATATTACAGTTGCTGAATAATTAAAGTAATAAAAATTCTCAACACAGAAACAGACTGAAGAATTTTCTGCAGGAATGAATTAAAATAAAATATGTAGGGATTGTTTACGAAAAAAACTTGTAATTTGGTTTACTTTGGCATACTTCATAAAGACTGTAATTTACATGAACAACTGTGGGAGATGTCACAATTCTAGAGCCTCATGTTTAGGGCTTATCTGGAAGTGAAAAATAAGTACAACTCCAAATTGCTTGCCTGGGTCTCTCTCTGCCATGGTAATTGCTGCCACCACTGATGAGTTCAAACTTTGCATATTTTGAAAAAAAGCAGTCACAGTTAAGTTTAGGTGTTACCCATATATAGACTGAGTTCAGGTCACTCTCACCAGATAAGCACCACAGCAGATATGGATTATTTCTCTGCCTACTCTCTGAATCCTGGTCAGTCTGAAGTGCTGAACTCTTTGTGGCAGTACCAAGTAAGATCACTAAGCAAGTAGAGAAATTTTAAATCCTAGGAAAGTTTTGTGTGTTTTGGGGTTTTTTTTAGATTTCTATTTTGGATTTAACAATCCTGAGCTGAACTTAAATGCTGCTTTAGTCACTAAATCTTTTTCTAGATTTAGTTTTACATCTGTACAGCTGATAAAAGATTGCATTCAAGGAGTAAAATGTAAGGGGGTGCAAGAGGTTGTGACATAGATGGAGAAACCAGAGTTAGAATCAGAGTAGGAGATGAGAGAAGCTTGAGAGTTCTATACAACTAGTTTTCTCATGGGTCCATGGGATGTTCAGTGTTACATGATGTGCAATTTCTGAACCTGTGCATTCACTTTATAGAATTTAAACAAGCTTCTTAGCTATAAAGAAATCTCTGAGCGATTTGATTTGCCAGATTCCAACAGAGATGAGGATTAGTGTTTGTACTATAGCCCACCACAAAATATTGCTGTTGGTTTCTTCACTTGTCTTCCGAAATTTTTCTTCGCGTTCCTGAAGAATAAAGGAAAAGCATAATTATTACCTTTTGGCATCTACATGTTTAGTGCTGCTGTTCAGGTAACTAGACAGGCATCCCTTTTCTGCATAGTGGTGAACCAACACTTCTTTTTGTGTTGATAAAAGTGGAAGTTTGTATTTATCCATATGGTGGGTATCTTTACAAACCAAAACTGAGAAGCAGACACACTGTACCCTCAAGCAGAAAGGCAAAGAGAACTTCCCTTAGTCACAGAAAATATATTGTGCTAAATATGTTCTGTTAGTACAGGCTTTAACCTTCTTAGGTTTACAGTCAAATATTGCTGTCGAGAACTCTCTTGCAGCCAAATTTCTATTTTTAGGTGACTAGTCGATGCATTTCTAACACAGTCTGACTCCCCACGTACGAGTGGAAAAGTGAACAGAATGGCTATATGCTCGTTTGAAGGAGGGCTTTATTTCTATCTGCATGGAGATATATAAATATACACTCAGTTGTTTCCTTCCCCACTCCAATAAAGTTTATGCACATAGACCAGCATGGAAACAATGGCTGGAGACATCACCCACGGCGGTACCTCTGCCACCTGCTCAGCTGCTGGGGCTGACTCTGGCCAAGAACACTCTTATTTGGAAAACCCTGCTTCAAAATAACACCTGCTGCTATAAGCATGAGTTCTCACCCATTAATTAGTTTTTAGGTTACTGCTTAAAAATATTTTGCAAGGTAATAGAGACTATTTTGGTTAAATACCAATGGATTTTTATGTGTTAGTTAAAAATAACACTGCAATTGAATAATAAACCTCATAATACTCAATAAAACAATAAGCCTATGTACAATATTTTTTAACATTTCCATTAGGGAACATACATACTCTTTCATAGTCTTGTTCTTTGGATACATGCTGAATTTGCTCAATTAGATGTTCTAGTCTGACATTAACTTCATCCACTTTTTCTTTGGCTTGAACAGCAGATTCGTCAAAAAAATGCTCTCCAACTCTAATGTCCAAATGGATTCGCTGCAAAGAGAAAATATATTCTCATTTCTGTCTTCTACTTTTTCAAAATTTCTTACTCGAAACAAAACCTTACTAAAAATAGAACCCTTGAAAGAAGAGCGAAGAACAGAACTGCAATATTGTGCAGCTTCTTTTTTCATGAATGAAAAATTTTGCTAAAACAAAGAGGAGGAAGTTCTCCTAGAAGCCAGTTTGTACCTGAGAGAAAATAAAAAGGTTTTAGCCAAACGAATAATCTGCCAAAACCTATAACTTGGTATTACCATGGTAGAAATTGGATCTACTCAGGCATCAACCACAAATGAAAAGCTGATCTTTCAGCTGTCTTGGAATTAGCTAACTGTACAGCTAGAAATCCATCTCACAGCCTTACCATCCATTAATTTATTTATTTTGGTTTGAAGGAGTTCAGGTAACCATCTGGTTCTTACAGAAGACCACTGAAAGATTTAACTTAGCTAAAGAATGTTTTTCTTTTGTGACCCTTGTACCTACAGGTATAATTATAAAGAGCAGTATTTCCCTTTTTTATTTCTGTGTTCTCAAGCTAAACAAACTACTTTATTTAATATTTGTGATATTAATGTTCTCCTTCCTCCCATCTGTTCACTTTTTTAAATAGGATGACCAGAACTCTACATGGTGCATGCATCATGTAAAATCATATTAATACAGCTCCATCTATACCAGATAAAAATCATCAGCATATCCTCAGAATCACTTTCATGTTGTGTAGTTAACTATGACCAACCAAAGCTTTCTCTCTCTTACCCTCTCTAGCTGATAAGCTCCACATTTTTTTTATTATTAGAACCTGAGTGCTTTTGCAATGTGTATGATTAAATTTCCATTCATTTCTATCAATCAGTCTCTAAGAACACCTAATTATTCCAGAATAATAATCAAATTTCTGTACTGTTAATTCTTCTCATTTCTGTGTCACCTACGTGTTCCCAAAGTACACAGCTTGCATGAAATTTGACCTACTTCAGCACATTTACAAGATGTTTACATTTAGCTGGTTATCTAACTCTTTTGCAGTCAACTGAGTTAAAAAACAAACAAACAAACTAACACTCCAGAGAGTAATTCAACTGTCTTTTGGGTTAAGGCATATATTTTCAAAGCAGAATTTATGAATTTTTTTGCTGGAATAGAGCAATGATACCACCTCTAATACGATTTTTTCTTTTCTTCCCAAAATCCGCCTTAAGATCAGCTTTGCTGGTAGTAGATGATAACAAGTATACTAATATGTTCTTCATTTGAATATCTCTCAAAAATTGAAATGTTAAATTTTCATTGGGAGTTCAATCTAAGTTAGTGAAGACATGGAACACCTTCATGACAAGTGTTTGTGTTAGTCAATCATATATATCAGTCTTTTTGAATGAAATTAGTGGTTCTTATTGATCAAAATCACATTCAAAGCACTTTAAAACATTAAATCTCTCTATCATTATTAGCCTTGCCTCTTGAAAGATGACTTCTTAAATAGAGCAGAACAGAGTCTTTTTATCTCTTCATCTACATAATTCTGAGTTTGTCTTCTTTAATCACTAGGAAATGTTGGATTATCTGCTAGAAGTTAGACCAACTTCTAAACTAGTTTGTAATCTCTGTGATGTGTAAACAATTTATAGTTACAACAAAGAATATTTAAGAAATATACCTACCAGTTTACTTCCTGCAAATGCCAGAAGTCTTGTGGAGTTTGACTGGAAACAGATAATGTGCTCCCCAGAGAGATGGGATGTAAAAGAAAATGTTCCTTGTGGCCCATATAGTTTTGACAATAGTACCTGCAATTTAAATTTTATATACGTTGGGTTTGTAAATTGTAAATACCAATAAAACTATCAAAACAGTGCTACGAATTGGATGCAAAAAATCGATTTGCTAAATCAATTAGCATCCTGACATCATTAAATTTATCTGAATTTCAAGGTAGATTTAGAGAAAATTAAACTATTTTAGTTCAGAGTGAACACTGAAATGTCAGAGAATTCTGCAACGTACAAAACCAATGCTCTCTAAAGCATGCAAAGTTTGAAAACTAAGACCTCATCTGGGCACAGAAATATATTATCCATTGCTGGAAAAGCTCAGGACCTCATGGCCACACAAGCAGCTGCTCTGCATGAGAGCCACACCCAGCCTCGGGAAGATCTCAGTTTTCGCAGTTTTGTTTATCATCAGCCTTCCTTTCTGCTGCACAAGTACATTCTGTACTGTTTTACTTCATTAGTGAATTTTTTTTTTCTTTTTTTTTTTTAAATTTAACTTGTTTTCTCAGTTGTCACTTACTGTTCTTTATGGCATACTTTCCCAAATCTGATAGTAATGCAACATAGTTATCAAATATCATAATTTCTATTTACTTTGGTAGAAATCACGAGGTTCTTAAACCTTTCAGCATCAAAATACCAAACTAGCTGGTAGACTGTAGATTTACTTCTTCTCCAGAAGTGCCTTTTATTTTTAGATGGGGCTGCCTGCCAGTGCCAGAAGTCAACACACAAAGCCTACAAAAACATTCATAGAGCATATTTACCTCACCATCAGGAGTTGAGACAGTCACATACATTCCCAAACCGGGAGCAGATTCAAGGAAGTCATGTTTATGTACATCCCAGCGTTGTACTTTGTAATTCCCTGAATAAGAACATGGATAAATCCATTAAATAAAACATAGCTTAACATTAAACATCTTCATTGCTTTTTCAGGAAAAATATAAAGATAAATGGTTAACATTAAAACAATATGTGTATTTCATGTGTTTGTGATTAAAAGTGCTCAGGGGCACTTTACAACAGTGGGAAATGCAATAAATTTTTACTACACCAGATAATGTTCTAGAGCACTACAAATAATGGTTAATTAACAAGAAATACTTTCTGATTACTCCTAAAGCTCTGGCAAGGTTAACCTCCAGAAGGCATGCTGAGACCCCCAAAAGCATATTGT